CGCGGTCCCTGTGCTTCGCTAAGTTTGTTCTAAGTAGGTGCTTTAGACCACTGAGCCATCTCACCAGCCCAGTGTGCAACTTTTTTTTTCTTTTGGTGATACCAGGGATCAAACTCAGGACCTTGAGCTTGCCAGGCAAGCACTTATTCCAATGAGCTATCTCCCAGCCCAGTAGTATACAACTTTTTTTTTTTTGGTGCCTGGGTCCTTTAGCAAGGCAAGAGATAAACTAGGTGTCAGCAGGGAGGACGCGGCCCACAGGGGTGGGGGGGGGCGCAGGATAACCAAGGCACACAGAAGTCCTAATCTGCTGAAGATGGCATTAGGAGATAAACGGCCAGGCATCTTCAGCCACCTAAGCCCAGCTCAGCCTGTGGCCAAGCTGGAGACCGGCAGGGGAGTGGGGCCAGAGTGTGGTCACTTTCATTATAGAAGGATTGATCCTTTCCCCAGGGATAAGGAACTCTCTTATCTTAACAGATAGCCATAGAGAAAGCACTTCCTTCTTGGTCCTGTAAAAGTACTTTCGTGAATCATCACTGGCCACTCTTTTCCTGGTCCCCTGTTGACTGTTCTGACTTTTGGCCTTTTTTTTTTTTTTTTTTGCTTTTGTGCCGGGAATGGGACTGGGACTCGGACCTTGCACTTGCCACGCAGGTGCTTGTGCTGCTCACTGGCTCTTACTGTCTAGATAAACTCTCCTCGTCCATCCGAGATATCCTTCTTCACCACCACAAAATACAGCCCGACTTTCACATGACAGCAGTGCCCTTTGCCCGGATCGCGGGCACCCGGCCGGCCAGCCGCCCCCTCCGTGCCTCTCCCTGCAAGGCGCCGCACCGTGGAGAGGTGGCCAGATAGCTGTCTGCTAAGTTTGGGTCCGTTTAGTCTTGGCCTCGACTAAGCGTCTGGGTAGGATGTCCCGGCCCTCCTTCCCTCCAGGATACTGGAATCTGTCGCCCTACGCTCCCCAGGCTCACTGTGCAAGGGTCAGAGCCCAGAACGAGGCAGGAAGGGGCCCGAAGGAAACCAGGCGGAGGGCCACAGGGGTAAAGCTGCGGCCACAGAAAGCCAGGCGACCGCCGGCAGCAAGACCACAGCAAAATCAGGCACCAGGCCAGGGAGAGACATCGGGAATTATGCCAGATGCTCAGAGGTTTGTGGGTCACAGAGAAACCGGGCCACGCCGGGAGAGGAAGTCAGGCTTCAGAACAAACCAACGTCACTGTGATTCCTAAGCCAGGGAGCGGCGCCGCCGCCCAGGGAAGCCAGGCGCGGGTCACCCCGGCCGCAGGCGGCCCTCTCCCGCTCCCCTCCCCGTCTTCCACCGCACCCAGCTCACTTGAGCTGCTGAGTGATGAGCTCCTCGTCGTTGAGGTAGCGCAGCCGCTCCTCTTCCACCAGGGTGCGCTGTCGCTGCAGCGGGTCCTCCTGCCGCCTGGCCGCCTCCGACACGCGCATGCTCAGCTCCGCCTCCGTGCGCTTCAGCAGCGCGCGCACCGACTCCTGGTTTTGGAGCTGCAGGCGCGAGGGCGGATATGTGGACCCGGCTAGGAGAGAGCGAGCTCCACTGGGCCGGACAGAGGGGGGCCGAGGTGGTGGTGGTGGGGGTGTCAAGGGGAAGTTCTGGGGTACTAGAGGCGAGAGAGAGTAATGGGAATACGGGAACCCTAGTACGACCCTCCTGACTGTGCCTGATTGTGTTTGGCTGTAGCTCGGAGCGTCCTGAATTTGGGGGTCGAGCCTGAGAAGAAGGGCTCAGCACTGGAGCTACAGTTTGGGGCGATCCGAGCCCAGAGGTGGGCAGGATTTTACCAGTGGCCCAGATGGTCACTGTCCGCCCCCTCCCCAGCTTGTCTCTGCGCATTATCTTCACCTGATGAGGAGCGGGCACAGCAGTGCCAGGCTCCTGACAGGTGGGACCATCTGCCAGGCGGGGTGAGGCAGACTGGCGGGGCTTAGGAAGGAGGAGGCCAACTCAAGGAATACTGTTAGGCTGTAGGAACGACGGATGGATAAGTGAGGGGGAGGGGCGAGGGATTCCGCAGGAGCCTCGGAGGGGGGAGGGGCGGGGTTGCAGGAGGCGTCGGGGCGGGGCGTGCAGGCAGGGGCGGTACCTGGAGCTTGCGCAGCTGCTGCAGCTGGCCGCGCAAGTCGCTGGCGCTGTTCTGCAGGCCGCGCAGGTGCAGCTGCATTTGCAGACGGCTGACCGCGGTGGGCTTCTCCGCAGGGGCGCCGCCGGCCGAGGGTGCGGGAGGGCCGGACACCGGGGTAGCCCCGCTACTGCGGCTGCCTGATCCGCACGCTGCAGAGGGACATTGAGGATGGGAGAAGTGAAACAAAAAATAAGCCCAAGAGGGGCCAAGGCAGATTTTAGCCCCTCTTTACCTCCATTCTATAGCCAGAGACACTTGACTGTGACTCTCTGCGCTAACTGCGGTGCAAGGCACCAGGCAGTGACAACTTGAACTAAGAGGACTTCTCCACTGAAAGCCCACTGATGCCGTGACTGTTCCATACCCACTTTATAGCCTGGAAAACTGAAGCTCAGAGAAAGGAAAGGCAGTGTCACTCACGTGCTGAGGGTGTGGCTGCCCCGTTGGAGCCCTCAATCTTCTCACTGGTACAGGGAAAGAAAATGGCCATCAGGGTGTCCAGGCCGGCCCCAGACCATCAAAGTGGAGATGTCATCTCCAGGTCCCATAGAAGCAAGGGACTCACGGTCACACAGTGACACACAGAGCTGAGCTATGAGCTGCTAAGGCCCACTCTCTACTCCAGCCCCAGGCCCGGGCAGTGGCGTTCTTGAAGAGGGGCTCACCTGGGGGTCTCAGGCTCCGAGCCCCGAAGGAGAGCGCTCTGCACCAGGCCCGTGAGGCTCGCAATCTGCTTCTCCATGGCTTCCATGCGCTCCCTAGGGAGGACGAGGTGCTGAGCAGCCCTTCCTGTGCCTGGGGCCCTCCTGCCCAGCCTAGGTCTCCTAGAGTTGGGGACCACAGCAAACACCCTTCCACTCCCAGCTGCCAGCACACAAAGGGATCCGGGCCTAAGGACCAAGCCCTTGTGTCCCCATGGCACATGGCTCCCATGCAGCTCTCCCTGCTCCTCGCAGCCCCTACACCTTTCCCCCACCTCCTTTCCTAAGCCATCCCAAAGTGCCAGCAGAAATCCACCCCTCCCCCCACAGGCAAATGCAAGAATTTCTTGGTGTTCTCCCTTGAGAAGAACTGGCAAGAGAACCCATTGTGCAGCTGGATGACTTCTTGGGGGAAGGGAGCAGGCAGAGTCTTGCCCCAGGCTGGCCTGGAACTTGCATCGATCCTCCTGCCTCAGCTTCCCTAGTGCTGGGATTGCAGGCATGCGCCCACACCTGGCACTCTCCCTGTTCCGTGCCAGCACCCCTCTCCAGTGCACTTCAGCTCTCCCTGTGCTGGACAGCTCTAGGGCTGCCAAGACCTTGTCCTCCCTGGAGAGACACTACAGAGGACCTGCTAGGCCCTTTATCCACTGGCAGGGAAACTGAGGCCTGGGTAACAAATGCAAACCCAAGTTTCTAGAGCCCAGAGTCAGTGTCTGGGATCCTCTTACTCACCCCTACAAGACTTGCAGATGGCAGGGAAACAGCATTGTGTAGCTTGCCAAGTCCTCCCTGCTCCATCCCAAATGTCAGGTCTACCAAGGACCCAGCGACCTCTGAGCCCAGGAACCGCATCCGTAGGCCAAGACCCTGGCGATGCCTGCTCCCCTACACACACCACACTTCGTCTTGTATACTCACCTGGTCTCCGCGTCCTTGGCTGGCACTGGTGGCCCGAAACCCACAAGGGCGCGCTCCCCGGGCCCGGGAAAGAGCTCGGCTGGGGGCACGCCGGCTCCAGAGGCGCCTCCGGTGCCGCTACGCGTCTTGGCCCCGGGGCTTTCGGCGAAGACGGACGAGGAGCCCGAGTCCTTGCGGAAGGACTGGCGCACGGGTGAGCCGCGGCTGGGCGGGCCTGAGTAGGGGCTGTGGGGTGGCGGAGGTCCGCCGGGGGGCGCGCCCACGTCTGCCAGCTTCTGTGGAGACGAGGGCGGCAGGCGAAAGCCGTATCCGTCCCCGTAGAGCGCGCCGCCGCTGGCCGCTGCCTTGTAGAGAGAGTCCTCCAGGTCGGACTGCAGAGCAGCGGCAGAGTAGGTGCTGAGCGAGCGCACCGATCCGCGCTTGTACAGCCCTCCTGGGCCGGGGAAGGCGAAGGGTTCGCCGGCAGCCGCCAGGCTCAGGCGGCCCTCATGCAGCAGCCCGTAGGGGTCGGCGTACAGCCCCTCGCCCTTCACCAGCATCATGCCGCCCGCCTTGCCGGCCAGGTCCTCGTCCGGCTTCACGTCGCGCCGCTCTAGGATGGCGCTGGGGCTGGGGCTCACGCCCTGCGCCCCAGACGGCGCCGCCCCCGGGGCGCCTCCCAGCCGCTCTGCCGCGTGGTGCACCGGGCTGCCGGCGTAGGAGGGCGGGCGCCCCCCGGCGGCGTAGGACAGGCGCGAGCGCGAAGGCGACCCAGACGGCAGCCCCGGGGGCGGCGAGCTGGACGCCAGGTGCTGGGCGGGCGACAGGTTGTTGAGACGCCGCGTGGGCGACGACTCCCGCGACGCGTACACCATCTCCCTCTGCGCGGAAGACAGCCCAACACCCCATGGGTGGGTCACAGAAGGGTCCCTGCTGTTTGCTTGCACCCCACCCCACCCCGGTCTGTTCTTTTACATCTGGGGCCCTTTCTCATCAGAGTTCCTGGCATGGAGACAGGCATCGACATGGGTCACCCTTAACCCGCCGTGGTGGGCTGGGCAGGGGAGGAGGTACCTCGAGGAGAGACCTATTGAAGAACTTCCAGGATGGGGACAGGGAGACAGGGAGGGCTCCTCCGGTACCCCAGTTAGCAGTTAGCCCTCTGCCTCTATTCCCCATGGCCCCTCTCCTGAGCCCCCAACCTCCGCATGTACCCCACCTGTCTGGACCCACTCCCCCAATCTCCCCAGCGCCCTGGGCATCCCCAGCTGTACCCGGAGGTCCCCGTTGGTGAGGTGGGATCCAGGGAAGGCAGCATATAGCGGCTCCTTCCTGTAGATCTTGATAATACTGCGGTCTTGGATGTCCCTGGGGGACAGAGGAGGGTGCAGAGGGTCACCACATGTCCCCCACATTGTGGAGAAGCAGCTGCCTCAGGCAGAGAGATGAGGGACCAGGATCCCCAACTCTTCCTAAGTCCTTTGGGCAGCCTGCCATTCCCACACACAGCAGCCCTCACCCACTGGGCCCAGCTCCTCCGCCTCAGACTTTTCTGGTTAACCTGGGCCGGCGGGGGAGGGGGGGTTGGAGAAGGGGGGGCTCGCAGGGAGTTGGGAGGAGTGTGGGACGCCCACCCATCCCCGGCGCTGCACCCACCGAACGTCCTCCAGCTCGTAGAAGACGTTGCGCGCCTCGTCCTTGATGAGGATGGCGGTGTTGGGAGACTTGAGCATGCCCATGGTAAGCTTCTGCGGGAACATGTGCGCGATGAGGGCGTGCAGCGTGTCCAGGCTGCTGACCTCGTGCGTGATGTGCACGCGCCGCGTCTCCTCCCCGAACTGCAGGAACAGCACCCCTGCGAAGGACACACGGTGCGGGCTCTCACGACCGCCGCCGCCACGCCGCCCGCCGGGGGAGCGAGGGGGGTTCTCGGGAGCTGCTTCCGTCCCACAGCGGCAGGGTCTGAGGCCCGACGCCGCCCCCGAGTGGAGGTGAACCCAGGCGCTCCGCATGTTGCCGGCGGCCCCTCAACCCACTCGAGCCAGAGCCCAGACCGGGCCGCGGGATTGAGTCGGGCAGAACCAGCAGGGACGAGGACAGTGAGCGCCTGGGAGGCAGATGGAGCAGAGTTAGAGAAGGGAGGCCTGGAGCGGAGAAAAGGGCGCCGCAGGGTTAGAGTGAAGGCAGAGAGAAGGGCTGGGGAAGGGACGGTCAGGGATGGCCGGGGAGAGAGCGAGGGGAGGAGGTTTCGAGGGCCGGGAGACCGAGCGCTGGGCCAGGGGGAGGCGCGGGGCCGGGCGGGACAGCGACGCGGAGGCGGAGCCTTGGCGGAGGCGGGCGCACAGGTTGCGCAGTACCTGGCGAGCGCAGCTTGGTCTGGCTGGCGGAGCGGGAGAGGGGCAGGCTCTGGCGGAAGCGGTTCATCCTGCTGAAGCCCAGGGGCAGCTCGGCCTCCGACATGGTCTCCAGTGACTCAGCCGAGGCGTAGGACAGCTTGGCTGCCTGGTCCGCCAGCCCGGGCTGGGCTCCCTGAGTGTGGCGCGAGCTGCGGGTCTGCAGGGCAGGGCAGAGCGAGAGGGGCCAAGCCTGAGCCCTGCTTTGCTCAGCCAAGGACAGCTAACAGGAAGCCAGCCTGCCTCTCTTTCTCTCTCTCTCTCCCTCCCTCCCAGGAGGACTCCTGCTTTCAGACTCGCTGTGTGCCTGCAGGGCCGTCTCCCCACGGCTCTGGACCTGGGCCCTGGCCTCCCCGGGACACCCAGCAGGTGAGCACTGGGCAACGGACTCGAGCACCCCAGGAAGCCAGTCAAGAAACCATCTGAGCGGGCACCATGGGCATGCCTGCTATTTTAAGCTTCCAAAGAACAACACCAACACAAATTTGTCACCGAGGTGAGCAGCAGAATCGTTGAGCAAATTGGGGCATTAGTTCCAGACATTAATTAAGCGGCGGGTTTATGAGCGGCGAATTTATTAAGAAATGGGGTGGGGAGCAGAAAGAAGGGCCCAGGGAGAAAGCAAAGAGAGCAAAGAATGCTGGGGCCCTGGTGCTGGGAGGTGTGGGCCTCATGGAGCTGGCACCTGGCATGGACAGTGTCCTTGATTCACCATGACCAGGACAACCAGCCCAGACCCCTTGCAGCCAGCAGACTACCTGCCTAGCCCAGTGTGCACGCAGAGTCCACTGTGGTACACAGGAGCGCATGGCATGCGTGCCAGGCTCTGGGCCTTCCCTGCCAGGCACAAGCTGCCACACAGCCAGCCAGGCCCCAGCACGACACCCCTTCCCTGAGGGTACAGCTGAGGGTGAGGTCTGGCTTGGTGGAGGACGGTGTCCTGGGACAACTCCATGCTCTGTCTTGCTGGACACTTCTTCAAGGGAGAGAACTAATGGGTAAGATCTGCCCCATTCCGTGTTACACATATCAAATCCATTTGTGTAGTATATATACACTTATTGTCACAAAAAGGAGGTTGCACCAGGCATGGTGGTGCAAGCCTATAATCCCAGCACTCTGGAGGCTGAAGCAGGAGGATTACCATGAGTTCGAGGCCAGCCTGGGCTACAAAGTGAGTTCGAGGCCAGCATGGATTACCTATTGAGACCCTGTCTCAAAAAAAAAAGAAAGAAAGAAAGAAAGAAAGAAAGAAAGAAAGAAAGAAAAAGCACCATGTTGCCCAATTGTATTTTTCTGTAAATTGTCTATTTTGAAGAACAAATCACTCAAAACCATTAACATTAGCTAGCTCTGAGCTGAAAGAGCTTTCTTTCTTTCTTTTTTTAGTACAGGGTCTCACTACATAGATCAGACTCATAGTGATCCTCCTATATACAGCCTCCCAATTGCTGGGATTACAGGCATGTGCCACCACGCCCAGTTCAATCGCCATTTAGCATGGCCCAGGGAGGGATCGAACCCCGGCCCCCACATCTGCCTAAGCAGGTGCAGAGCTTTCATTTTTAACTTTATACATTTCTCTACAAAATTGAGCGACTTGTCCACAATCAGAATATATTACTTTTATAATTTAAAAAAGACAGCAATAAAAAAGTATCTCTAAAAAGGAATAATTTATTCTCCTCTTCAGCTCTCTATTTCCCCAAATCCTGATTAACCCTAATTAATCTCTATCTTCCTATTAACTCAATTTAATGTTCGAATTGGATTAGCACTCTTGAAAAGAGAACATCTTTCTCCAGTTGGCATTATGCCCAGATGTCCCCAAGGTGGCCTTGAGGGCCTTTGGACATAGAAGGTTAGAGTTGGGGTCATCACAGGGCTTCCAGCTTCAAGTACAGTGCCTTGCAGTGGGTGACAGGTGCCTTAAAAGGAAGGGGCAGCATCGGAAGCAGCCCCCTTCTTTTTTTTGAGACAAGGTCTCACTATGTAGGGTAGGTTGGCCTTGAACTCACTTATGTAGCCCAGGCTGGTCTCAAACTCAGAAATCCTCCTGCCTCAGCCTCCTGAGTGCAGGGATGACAGGTGTACACCACCACACCCACATCTTACTGTCAACTCTGTGAATGGTGGTAAGCCCTGTGGCACTGTGGGGAACCAGAGCAGGGCTGGTGGTCCTGGCGTTGCCAGGCAACTGAAAGGTCAGTGTTTCTCAGCCTGGTGAATTAGGCCACTAGCAAAGATGAAGAGTGGCTGGCAGCCATAGTGCTGGACAGCAGACACAAGGGAGAATTGGCTGGGGTGGAGTGGGGTGGGGTGAAGCAGAAGAGGCCACTGTGGATGGGCCCCCAGAAGAGCTCCCCAAAGACAGCAGGGCTGTGTGGAGCCAGTGAGCATGGTCACAGGTGTCTCAGCAAGACCAGTGAGCTGGCTCAAGGTCAGGCAGAGGGGACCGCGGATGAGATGGTCACAGTAGGACCTGCAGATACCAAAGACCAGCTGCAGACTGGGGCTGTGGGGAGACTTGGGAGCGTAGAAAAACACCCCACAATCACTGAGGTAAACACTGCAGGCTGAGGCCTGGGGTCCAAGAAGTTTTACAAGCTGCCATGGTGATTGTAGTTTTAGAACCCTGTCAGCACCCCGATTCTGACAGCTCCCTGCAAGCCTAGGGCCAGCCTTTTCTCACCTTTTTCTATCCTTATGACAACTCTATGGTGCAGGCATTGTTCTGCTTTACAGAGAAGAAACTGAGACCAGGAAGATTATGGAAGTTGCCCTGAGTTCCCTGGCTACTTGGCAGCAGACCGGACTTTACCACCAGGCCCACGCACTTAACCAGTACTACACAGCCCCTCCGTCCTCCCCAGGGACTGTGCCTGACTCAGGATCCTACGACTCCATGATTCCCTGACTCACAAGTGCTCTGGAACATGCGTGCAAAGGAGACCTACGGAGTCTGGAAGGGGTGCCCACCCTGCTGTGATGCCTGGGACCCCGGAGCTAGAGACTCCAGGATTCAAGCAGCAGTCGAACTTGTTCCACCCGGTTCTGAGCCCAGAATGTGGAGAGGATGGGCGAGATGCCTGAGAGGGAGGGGCAGACAGCACCTAGCGCTGGATAATCCAAGCTCTCCCAAGGAGGCAAGAAGTCCCCAGCCCTGGCTTAAAGGTTTAGGGTACAGGGCTGTGTGTCCTGCCTGACACTGAGCAGGTCCCCCATATAGGCACAGCTCTGCCTCAGAGGCAGCAGTCTCCCTAGTTGAGGGAAACAGCAGGCAGCCTTCTTGCTCCAAAATACCCCTTGGGGCTACAGAAACTTGGGGAAGGAGCATCTCCAATCTAGATCTCCAGCAGGTGTGGCCCAAACTGCCCTCTGGGTCCCAAGCCCCTGGCAGCCGAGCCCAGAGTCCCGACGCAGCAGCCATAGCCTGCAGCCCAAGGCCCACCGCCCGCACCAGAGGGGGCCCGTGCAGACGCACACCCCGGTGCCAAGCATGTGCAAGGGAGGTGGGGAGGGGACACATGCAGTTGCCATGGCAGCAGAAGCATCTCACACTGACCTTGAAACTCCAGTAGTTTGGCTGCTGATGGAAATAAGAGAAGAGATGGTTATGAGGGGGCCAGGAGGGGGCAGGGCAAGGCAAGACCCTCAGAGCTCAGTGCTCAGCCCTGGCTGGTGGACCCTCCACCCTCCCAGGAGCAGGAAGGAAACGCTGCATGGGATTTCCTGTTCTCCACTGAGACCTGGTCACCCAGGTGTCCCCAGGATGGTAAGGTTCTAAGCCTACCGGTGGGAGCAGGAGAGAATATTCCAGATGTCGACAGCCAAATTCCAGCTAATAGAAAGGCATGGGTAGGAAAGGGCACAGACAGCCATGAAGCAGAGAACCCACACAAGTCCAAAGAAGAGCAATGATACAGCAAGGTTCTGGGGTCAGAGGTGATGGCAGCTGGTTATGGCTGGCTGGGGAAATTTCCCAAAAAAGATGGCATTTGAGCCAGGTCTTGTGTAAGTGGCTGGGGATAGAGGACAGTTGCAATCAGCAGAAGGGACAGCATGGTGTGAGGGATGTCCCAAGTCCAGCTGGGGTGGCACAACCTGCGAGGAGGAGGCTGGGCTTTTGAAGGGTGCTGAGCCAGAGTCCCAGGAGGTTGGGGGAGGGGCAGAGAGCCAGTGACAGGATGAGAACGGGACCGTAGGCCTGGGGCAGGGGCAGGTAGACAGCAACACCCTCCACCCTGGACAAGAAACGGAGATGTGGGCAGCCGAGGGAGTTAGGGCTTGGCCAGCCCAAAGCCCACAGCCGGAAAGCTGTCGGAGGAGTGGCCTTGCGCCCCCGCCATGCCCTTACGATGGAGGACGGAGCTTCCTGCTCAGTAACCTGGGGTTGCCCTGCATCCCAAGACCAACAGGCCCTTACAGATGGCCAGAGACAAAGAAGGGGCAGCCCTGAGGCCAGGCTGTTTCTTGGCAAAGCTGAGGGCACCCTGCTGACCGGTGCCAGCCTCAGCAGGAGGACAAGGGCAGCAGATGGCTCAGCTCTGGGGTGCCTGGCACCAGCACACAAGATTCCTCAGGCCTCATAGCCCCTGGCAGAGGACAGGGACGTCAGAGGTTCCTGATGGGAGGATGCCACGTTAGTGGGTACTGTGCCACCGAGTGTTTTCATAGCAGGGGAGGTGGAAAGGGGTTGAGTGGGGGGCACTGAGGGTGGAGGCTTTGCCTGAAGGATGGAGGTGACACAGGGCAGGGGCTGAGATAGAGCAGTTCACCTGCCAGGGTTGCCCACACCAGTGCCACAATCCATGTCTCCACCAAGCACTGGATCCAAAACATGAAGAAATTGCTACATGCTAGGCAGGAGAAGCAGGCAACTAAGTCTGTACCCCAGCCAAGGCTGGAGTCATCTATGGACAGAGGCCACCACCGGGGGTGCCAGGGGGTGCTAACAGGCTCCAGCCACAGCTTCTGGTGGCCTTGGAGGGGAGGGTTGCAGAGGGAGTGGACACACAGGGTTGGCAGAGCCAGGTTGAAGGCACTGGAAGGTTTCCAATGGGAGCCACCGCTGCAGGGAGGACCCTGCGCCATCACCCACCTATGCCATCTTACAGGCCACCCTCAGGTACCCACAGAGTGGCGCACACTCACAGCAGCACAACACAGCCACCTGCAGAGATGGTCTCCCTAACAGCCCAGAAACCCAGGGACACTAGTGACCCATGCACACGCGCACCCCAGGGCCTGACTTGAGGACATGTGTGCTCTCAAGGGTACTGCCCCCAGTCCCAGAACAGAGGCCCTGGGGCCGCTTACACGCACCCTTAACGCGGCCCAGTGTCAGACACCTAAAGGATCAGCTGCAGGGCACGCTCAGAAGGGCATGCGGTGCACACTCACAGCCTCAGGAAAAGCGCTTCCTCTCCCTCCTAGCTGGGCCAGGGCACCTGCAGCCACCTCTGTTGACCCAGGCCTATGATGTCCTGCACATCATATGTCAAGGAGGTGATTCCCTGGATCCAAACAGGCCGAAGTTGCCCCTCTCTCCAGGTCAGCACAGAGGTCCACTACCCTGTGCAGGTGACTGGAAACCCCTGAGAGGGGGTCACGAGCAGGACCCGGATACAGCCACAGCAGCTGGCCCTCCTCCTGGACCAAGGGTCCAAGCCTGTGCCCATGCAGTCACCTGGCAGGGATGGGTCACAAACAGAGCCCAAGAAGGAGGGTAGGGTGGCATCAGTGTCACTGCAAAGGCCCATCAAGCCCCAGGGAAAGCACAGATGGAAGAGATGCCAAATGTGTACTGCTGGAACGGGCCATCTGAGGGACACGGATCAAATCCCTGGGGCCTCTGGCTCAGCCCTGCCCTCAGTCAGAAAGCGGGGAGCAAGCTACTTCCACACCCGCCTCCCAGGAATCAGGCCCATGGTCTCCTGGCAACTCCTTGTCCCCAAAGCAGGAGTTGCAGGGAAGAGGCCGCTGGGGAGGCCACCAGCTCCTCTCTCCCAGGGCACCCCAACCCTACTCTCCAAAGGGGACACTCCTATCTCTTGTTTTTTTTTTTTTTGTTTTGTTTTTGTTTTGCAGAACCGGGGATTGAACTCAGATCCTTGTGTTTGCCAGTCAAGCGTTTATCCTACTGAGCCATTTCCCCGGCCCCTGGGCCCAACTTCTTGCTTGTGGGTTCCTGCTGTGTGCCCAGACCAGTGTGGTCTGGAGTAGGCTCTCAATTACTAGTAAGTGGCAAGGAACCAAAACCAACAGCCTTGGGGAGGTGCAGGCGGGGCCTGCGCCCCACATCTTCCAGCCCCGCACTACACCTCCCAGCGGCTCCCAGGGAATTCCCAGCACCAGAAAGCCTAGTAGGAGGGCTGGAGGCCCACGTACCTAGCCCCACCCTCGGGGAGGAGTCAGGGAAGACAAGGTGGGAGAGAACCCTGCAGGGACAACCACTGGCAGGAAAAACACCTGCCGGAGCTGGCAAATGTGCGGGATCTCAGGAAAGATGGAAGGCGACCTTCTCTCCCTACTGGGCTCTCAGAAAGGGAGAGGGGTCTTCCCCCAGGACCCCGCAGGCCAGCGAACTAAAGCGTGTAGAATACACACCCCTCTCCAGCCCTGGGGTTCGTTCTCCCGCGGCAGTTTTCCAGACCCCCAACCCAGCCCTCGGAGGGCGGGGCTGAATCCAAAGGGACCCACCGGGGCCAGCCAGGTCCCTGTCCTCCTCTGGACTGACGTCCCCGTTAGTAGACGAGCGAAAGCGTGACCCCTCCTTGACCTCGAGCCCCCAAAACACAGGAGGGGTAGAAATGAGTGCACAGCCTGGCACACACCGGCACGCACACCCACCTCCAACTCGCGTGAACACGAGTCCCCCAAAACACTCGTCCCAGGCTTGGGGCAAAGCCAATTCCCACGGCCACACACGCGCGCGACCCCCTCCCCGGCATGCGATCGACACCCACGCTGCAGTATGCTAGAGGGGAGGGGTGCGCACCCCGGGAAGGTCATGACTTTCCGGGACTGGAGGAGGGGGCGCCCGCCTGCTGCGTTTGGGCTGGGGGCGACCCATGCGGTACCCACAAATGCAGTGGGGGAAGGGAGGGGGGCGTATCTCACTATCTGAAACCCGCAACCGCTGCGCCCCTTACGCTGCGCCGCCCCTCGTGGCCGCTGTGCAGGCGGCCCCATCTCGGTGACCCCCGCTCCCAGCCGAACCCCGGCGTCGCCCGGGCCCCGCAGCCGCTCCCCCTTACCTGCGGCTACAGGTGCAAACGCTGGGGTCCCTGAGCCCGGTTCCGCGTGGGCGGGGAGGGAGGGAAGGCGTCCCCACTCCCGCCCGCCCGCGCGCCCGGGCTGTTCCCTCCCCCGGCCGCCGCCGCGGTGCCCTTTGCTGCAGTGGAGCGCCGCCGCCGCCACCACCGCGCCTGCCCCGGCCCCGGTCGCCCCGGTAACCGCGACTCCACCTGGCGCGGCGCGGCGCGGCGCGCGGCCGTGCACATCGAGCCGTGGCCCCCTCCCCCCGCGGGCCCGCCGAGAGAGAGCGCGGCGGAGGCTGGCGGCTGCGTCGCCGCGGTCACCCGATCCGCAGGCCCGCCGCCCGGGACTCGGGTTGCTGATGGGGGAGGGCGAGTGGCTAGCCCGGTGGCGGCGTGGGGGAGGGGCCGTAGCTGGTTCCCTTCCCAGGGTCCCCTTCACCGTCCCCACCCCCAGCGTCTGACCTATCGCCACCTTTCCTGCTCACAGTCCCCCCCTTCCAGGGTCTCAGCTTGGGCACCTTTGCCCTTTTAATTCTGCCCTGACTTCACGGCTTTCAGAATGTGGAGCCTAAAATGCTGAACTTCCCTTAATGGCCTCTGATCCTGGCCTGCTGTGTCACACTGGCCCTTCGCCAACGTCTCTGGTCCCCTGCCTCAGCCCTGGGGCAGGACTGCGATACTCTGTGAGTACTGAGTGCTCAAGTGATAGCAAGACCTTTCCTGGGCACAGTCACCTCCCCAGCCCCAGGCAAAGGTGCCCGCAAACCCACTCTTCCTTCCATCAGAGCAGGTAGAGAGACTTGGATGACCCCAGGATCAGGAGCTCACCACGTCAGCGTCACTCAAGCCTGCCCTGCTCACAGCCCCAAGACACTCCTTCTAGCGAGGATCCCTGGGGTCCCTGGGTACCCAGAGCCTGCATGTGCACACTGCACCTCTTCTCTGTCCTATCCACTCTGGTACCTGGGCTTGGTACCCAGTCTCAGAGGCAAACACATCTCTGTTCCCCAAGTTCAGCCAAGATGGGGCAATGAGCCAGAAGGAGAGTAGGCTAGATGCCTGTGAGCGATGCCAACTGTGCCAACTACAGCTAGAGCTCAGTTATGCCCCCATTCAAATGGCTGTGCTCTGCAAACGCATTAGGTGCTGATTGGTCCCAGCTCATTTTCCTTGAATGACTCCTCCAGCAAGCACAGGTGTGTGACCCGCCACCCTTCCTTCCACCAGCCCACAGCTATGCGGCCCCAAGGCCGGACCTCCCTGGGCTACCCCTCCTCATGGCACCCCTCGCTCCTGGGTCACCCTCCCCCATATCCCTATCCAGGCCTGAGCTGGGAGCCCAGGGAGTCCTACGTGTCCCTCTGACTACACTGAGAGCCACCTTCCCACCAGGAAATCAGGCTTGATGGCTTAATCCTCTAAACACTGAGGTAAAGCCTTGGACCTAGCAAGGGAAGTGGGTCCGCATGCAGAACTCTGATGGGTCAGCTCCCAAATGGGGACTGAGATGACCTTTACTGGGGGAAAGGATAAGAGGTCCCTGAAAACTTAGAGCAAGACAGCATCCTCTCGTTTAGAGGGGAAAGTAATCAAATTCTGAGTACTATGCCCAAAAAACTTTCTTCCTCCACTCCAAGCAGGTTGGGGGAGGTAGGGGCAGGGACTTGGAAGATCAGGGGACATGTCAGCACAGGGCACAAAAGTCTCCTGAAAAGGGGGAGGTGAAATAAAAATTCAGAATATCCCCCCTCTAAAAATTAAAAAACAAAAAGCCTCCCCGAAGCCAAGCCCGCCGTGGGTCTGAGGCCAAGCTGGAGGTGGGTGACTCACCTGGGCGGGCTGGCCAGCCCCAGAGGGCGTGGAGTCGCCATGCAGGTGGGAGCAGAGGGAGCTGAGGAGGCACACAGGGTCCACGGTCCAGCCGCCAACCTGTGTGTGTGAAGCGGGGGACACCCCATTAGGGGGAGCGGGCAGGAGCCGCTGGGGCAGTGGTGAGGCAGAGATGGGCAGCCCCAGGGCAGGTGCGGGCCCAGAGCTACCGCACTACAGGGGTGCAGGGACTCCCTTCCCCGGGCTGGGCCTTGGTCTAGGGCCTGGAGTCTGCTTGCTCTCACAGGAGGGGTCCGAGGGCCTGGGACAGGACCCTCCCTGTCAGACATCCTGGAAGCTGAACGTCCCAGGTGGTCCTGACTACACCAGTCTCCTGCACACTTCCCCTTCTCCCTCTGCCTCCTCCCCAAGGGTGTCGTCAGCTCACCTCACCTGTCCCTCTCCTGGGGACCACTGGGCAGGAGTGGCCTCACTGCCACAATCCCTGTCCTAGCAGCACAACTGTCATTCTTTGGTCTTTTTTCTTTTCTTCTTCTTTTTTTTTAAACACCAGGAATCAAACTCAGGGCTTTGTGCTTGCTAGGCAGGTGCTGCGCCACTGAGCTATATCCCCAGTCCAACAATCTTTCTTGCCATCTCTGGAAATGCTGTCCTACTCCAAAGCCACCAGGCCTGATTCCCCCTAGACCTGCTCCCAGCCCTCCAGCCCTGTGGCCTTCAGCTGCACCCTCTGTTGGTCCAACCCTCCTCCTTTCCCTGACCATCACCAGTTGTACCATGCTTAGGAGGAACCAAATACCCCCAGCCGAGGGAAGGGGCCGGGTCCTGCCACTCACCCTCCCCGGGAGGAAACAGATGTTTGACAGAGGAAGGGAAGGAAGGCTGAGCCTGAGCTCTGATTCCCACCCTGAATGTCTGCTGAGTGCTCGCTGGGTACTCCCCAGCCTCTTCCAGCCAAGCCAGGGAACACGCCAGGTGCTAGGAGGCCACAAACCCATGCTCACCCTCTCCCCAGGCCCGTGCCCCTTGAAGCTGCCACTCGGGCTGTCTCTATCCTTTTCTAGCTAAACTGCCCTGAAAGACAGGTGTGTGACCTGGCAGGCCCTCGCCATCCCCCATCACCCCACCAGCCCTCTGCCGCAGGCCCGTGGCTGCAGATGGCTCTACCCCTGTCCACACACTGGACCTCCCAAGTGCAGGTCACCCCTGCTAACCCCTCCAGCAGGACCTTCCTCCTCGTGGTGGCAGAGGTTTATGGTCCCCCTTCCCAGTCATCACAGGCACTCTTCCCTCTCGACTAGGGTCTGCCTGGCTGGCCCTCTAGTGCCACTCTTCAGGTATCCTCAGCAGTCTGGGCCCTCTGGAGTTGTTTTGTGCGCACATGCCAGGAGGCATGGTTGCTAAGGCCCCGCCCACCCTCTCATCTACTTATATTTCTTTCCCCACCCCCAAGCCTTTCCCACCCAGCTATCAGAATCTGTCACCCAGGTACCTTCTGTCTTTGCCTCCTCTATCAGGGCAGCAAACAGTCTCCTATCTTCCCCCCTCCTTGATACACTCCTCCCTTCACCACTGGAAACCCAGCCTTCCCGGCCCCAATGCTACAAGCCCCGCTTTGTCCGCTGTCTCCATTGCGCCCCACAGCCTCCCAAGCATCCTATACCAGCCAGGGGGCTGTGCTACCCACCAAACGAGTGCAGGCCTATGCTCATGGTACTCCCTTTGCATCCGCTAAAATAGCCTACTTTTTCTCTATCTGTGCCAGCCCCGGCAACCTCCTAGGCCCTGTTTGGGGACCTTCTCCTCCAAGAAGTCTGCCCACTGATGCCCTTTCTCTAAAGCCCTCTGCACGCATATGCATGTCATACACAATGGAAGCACCCTTTCCAGGGGGACTGGGGAACTGGGAAAAGGCCAATGCCAGACAGAGCTGGAGGTGACATCTGGAGACAGACAAGCACCACCAATGTGTCCATGTGTCCTTTTTCCTGTGGGGGGGGTGGGGAGAGGGCACCCCGGGGTAGCCAGAGAAGGGAAACTGAGTTAGACAGGTGGGAGCTGGGACTGACACCCCAAGGCTTGCCAGAAAGGTGGTTGCAGGGATGTGGGCCACCCCTGGTCCCTTCCCCCGGTGACAATGCCTGTGTCTCTGCAGCCAGGACACAACCAACAAAGCCCTCACCAAGGCAGCACTGAAGGCAAAATGAGGCGGCGCTCATGCATTCATGTGTGACTGTGGGGGGAGGGGCAAGAGGACCCCAAGGATCCCAGACAGCAGGAGGCCTGCTGCAGGGCGAGGCCTCACTCCTCTCTCTCCAAGCCTCATTGAGGAAGAGGAGAAACCAAGGCTCAGAGAGCTGTGGCCTCCAGCTCCGAGTCACACAGCGAGTCTTGGGGCCAGGAGTCCCAGAACATAGAGGTAAGAGGCCCCCCCTTTCTGGGGCAGTCCTCGCAAGGCTTGGGGACAGTCAGATCCAGCCTGCTGAGGCCCCAGCCTGACCTATTAGGACCCCTCTGGCAGAGGTACCAGAGCCAAGCACCCCAACTCCCTGACACTCAGGTCGCAGTTGGCCTAGGCACCATATCTGCCCATCCTCCCTCCCGGCAACCCCTAGGCGTGGTCTGAGGCCAAGCCACCCCTTCCTTCCTCCCGGGTTGGGAAAAGCTCCCCAACGCCCTGGCACCCGGACGCGGGGGTCCCCCGCCCCGCCCTGCCCCACTCACCTGCTCGCGCATGCGATCCTGCTGGCCACGCAGGGCCAGCGCGTGCTGCGGGTACTTGCTCTTCAGGTGGTCCATGAAGGCGTCGCGCTTGCGCTCGGCATCCGCCTTTTGCAGCCCGCTGAGCGCCTCGAGGCTCTGCGCGGCGATCACGGTGTGCCGCCGCTCGGACGTGTGCACCAGGCCCACGTTGGAGAAGCGCCGGCCCCCGGCGCCCCCGCCCCCGCCCCCCAGGGTCCGGTACTCCCGCGGGTACTCGGCATCGTCGGCAGACAGCATGGGGGGGCTGCTCCGCTCCGGATCTGCGAGGGGGAGAGGGGCGCGCAGGGTCACGGGGTGGGTGGGAGGGACCTTACCCCGCTGGGGACCCTAAGGGGCGGGGCCTAAGGGACCAACCATCCTCACAGGAGGGGACGGAAGGGGGCAGAAGTGTGGCCTGGATGGATTGGAGGGAGTATCGGAAGACCAGAGGAGGGGTGGGGGGCCAAGGCCAGGAGGCCACTGCTTGTTCCTCCTGCGTGTGCTTGGGGGTGATGATGGCAAGGGTGCCCTCCTTGAGAGCAACCCCCTTCTTGAAGCTGGCGCTTCGGGAAGGGGACAGATGAAGATGTTCAATCCACAGCGTCCTCTAACGAAGGCTGCGGTCCCTGGGATCAGCACTTCCGGTAGCCGGACCCTGGGTCTGGGACCCATGCGGGAGTTAGGGAACTCCCAAGAGGGTGGGGCCTTAGGTAGGGGCAGGCACAGGGACCCTGTTCCCCTCCCGCCCCAGACAGACAGATGGACTGACAGGAGAGGCTGGGCACAGAGGACAGTGAGATGGACGGGGACAAACGTAAAGGAGAAAGAAAGCAGACAGAACAGCGCGAGCCCATGGGCCCCTTCTTCAGTTTCCTCCAGAGAGGATGTACAGGGGACAAAGGACAGCACAGAAGCAGGGAGGGCAAGGCCGGGGGCAGAGGTCCCTCGCGCAGCTCTGACTCCCCCCAAGCCACTGGCGCTGAGCTGCTGGCTGCCCCGGCCCGCCCCTCTACTCCCACACTCCAGGCCACGTCATCAGCAGCCTGGGCTCCAGAGGCCACCAGGTCCTCTGGGGTGGGCGCCCCAGAAACACTCCCCAGCAGGAAACAAATCTGTCCTCCTCTGCCCAGAAGTCACCCCTCTGGGAGACAGCTGTCCCCCCTGCAACACCTCCACCCCACAGTCCAGCAGCACCTGAGTGGCAGCCCCCCACTATAGCCTCAGCCTGGGGAACACATTCACCCCCGACTGCCTGACTCCCTGAGGCAAAAGGAGCTGAACTGGGGATTCTGGGACTCAGCCAGGCTCCCCAGCATGGTTCCACCACTGTCTACAGGCCTGGTGCCAGGCCTCTGCCACCCTCTGCCCAACCACAGGAGAGGACACCCAGTTGCATTTCAAGAAAAGATGCAGCTGGGTGGAGGAGCATTCCTGGGTCAGGCACTGGGAACGGAGGCAGGAGGATCACCTTGAGTTTGAAGCCAGCCTGGGCTAAACAGTGAGGCCCTGTCTCAAAAAATCAAGCACACACACACACACACACACACACACACACACACACACACCACCTCTCCCCACTGGCTGTGGCTGAGGTATGGATATCAGGTGCCGCCCACCAACACCACAGGAAGAACAGCTCTGGGCTCATGGGTCAGCATCTCATCAAGGGCTCCCCCAGCCTTGTCACAGCTCCAGGGCCCCCAACATTGCTGTGGGGAGGTGTTACTACGACCCCTATTTGAGAGATGGCTACCAAGGCTCAGAAGTCCCGTGAGAACCCCAAGGCACCAGAGTGACACGTCTGACTTGGCTTCCCTACCAATTAGGTTTACATGGACTTTTCTCCTTACAGGATGACCTGTTACTGGGACAGCAGTAACCACTGCACCTCACTGCACCACACCCACATGGGTTTCCTGTTCCCTGCTTTTCCCCCCTGCCAGGCCACCCGCTCTGCCCCAGGCATCTTTGTCCTTCTATCCCTCTCCCCATTCACCAAGTGAAGTCCAGATGCACAGAGACGACTCTGAAAGAAACACTGGTGTCTTTTAGGCATCTTTTAACCATTGCACCTTTATTTTTACAAAGACTAGGAAAATCCCGATGAAAAGGTAAAGCCGCTGGTTCCACAGATTTTGTTAGGGTTAAATCTGGCTGTCCCCTCAAAGTTCCTGTGCTCCGAGATGGGACTCTGGGACAGTGAATGGACCCAGGGCTGCAGTGCGCATTGGTGGGTTTGTCCACTAATGGATTTATAGCTGATGTGAAGCTGGTCTAAGATGTTGGTGTGGGCGTGGCCTGGAGGTCCCTGGGCGTGGCCCAGAAGGGTCTATAGCCCTCCTCCTCCTTCTCTCTCTCTCTCTCTCTCTCTCTCTCTCTCTCTCTCTCTCTCTCTCGCTGACTCTCTGACTCTCTCTCTGTCTCTCTCTCTTTCTCTCTTTCTTTCTTTCCTTTTCTTTTTTTTTTGGTACCAGGAATGTGAGCTATATCCCAGGGCTCGATTCTTTCTTTGTGACAGGATCTAGCTGTGTGTAGCTCAGCCTGTCCTTGAACTCACAGCAGTCCTCCTGCCTCAACCTCCCTCCCATGTGCTAGAATTCTCAGCCCGGCCGATCTTTCTCTGCACCTGTCCACCATGCCATGGGCCACTCCTCCTCCACCAGGCGCTTGTGTCCAGCGACCCTGTCTAGAAGCAGCCAACTATGGATCGGAACCTCTGCAAACTGTGAGCCAGAGTAAGCCTCCCCTCCTCTAAGTTATGGATGTCAGGTCATCTTGTGTCTCAGTGACTGGCAAGCAACTAAGACAATACTGCTCCTCACAATGGCAATGAGAGGAGAATTCCTCTTTGAGGCCACATGGATACTTGGAGTTAAATCCAGAGCCTCCGTACTGAGCTACATCCCCTGCCTGCCCTTAATTCTTTTTTTTTTTTTTCTTAATTTTGAGACAGGGTCTCACCAAGTCCCTAAGTTGCCCAGGTTGGGCTAGAACTCAGTCCTCCTGCCTCAGCCTCCCATGGCACTGGGGGCATAGGCATGCACCTCTCTGCCTGTCTTAGTTTTCCTCTTTCCTCTTAAATAAATGTACTTAAGCTCAAAGTGAGTTATCAAAAACAATATTGAGTTAACATAGTGCAAACAGTTTCCTGATACGGAGGAGACTGCAGAAGACGGCGGCTGATGGAGTGAAGCGGAAAAGGGGCTGGGCAGCCGGGGCATCTTCCTGCGAGCCCTGCTGAGAAGGGGCGACCTGGGGAACAGGGGCTGGGGAGAGCGAGCCTGGCCCACAATCACACACACACACCCTGCTGGGCAGGATGGAGGGGCCTCCCGGCCTCCGCCTAGCTCTCCACCTCCTGGCCTGGCCCAGCCAGGACACTGCCCTTGTTCCAGGCGGCTGGGCCCCTCTACCCTCCCTGCACCCTGGGCACCACAGCTGCCTTCATCCGGGTCAGGATCCCAAATTCCACCCTCAAGGGCTCCCTCCTGGCCCCAGAGAGCTCCTGCTCCCCACCCCATGCCCGCCACACCAGTCTCTCCTTGCCTGTCTCCAGGGGGTACACACAGGTCTGAGGCTTCAGGGACTGGGAGGACCCTAGGACTCAACCTGGTCCCCCAGGCAGGTGAGGGCGGGGACGAGGGGCTGTGGGAGCAGATGTGGAGAGCAGGCAGCATTCACACTGAGGTGCTGATGCACAGGGGAGAGGCAGGAGCTGCCACTGGGGGTGTCAGAGAGGGACGGAGCAGAGTGACATCTGCATCTCATCTCAGAGGAAGGGCCATGGCAAGGTGGGGCTCAGATCCGAAACGTTTAGGAGCCCCTTTAGAAATCCTCTATTCTGGGGTGATAGTGTACGCCAGCACTTGGGAGGCTGAGGCAGAAAGAACTCCATGAATTTGAGGCCAGCATGAATTGCAGAGCAAGGTACTGCACCCCTCAAGAAAGCCCCGGCTGGAGGCACCTTGATCTAGCCAGCTTTTCCCCAGGGACACTAGGTATTTATCAAAACAGCAAATCTCCCCATGGAGTCCAGGGAAATTGGAGGTGTCATCCCAAGCCCTGCCTAGCTGCCCCCCAACGGAGGAGCAGCACAAGGTTCGCAACAATGGCCATTCCTGACCAGTGGCACACCAATCCCTGGCAGATGGCCTCCCCAAACCAGCCACTAGCAAATTCTGGGGCACCCCTGACCCGCGGGGCCTGAGCAGTGCAGGAAAAGGCAGGGGGATCGATTTCAGTACCGCCGGACAGGATCTAGGTTCCAGGTGGTGCTGGACAGATCCAGGCTTCCTGTTTAGTGGCAGGCAGGTGAGCAGAGATCGGGCTGAAATGGGCGGGACACAGAGGGATCAAGTGGGGTGTGAGATGGGCGGAGGAGAGGAGCAGGGAAGTCTCCCTGTACTCCCAGCACCCTCAGTGTGCAAGGCCCCCATGATTTCTGAAGCAAGGTCGAGGTGTAGGAGGTGTCAGGCAGGGGCGACATCAAGGCTTGGAAGAAGGCGAGGCATCAGCTGGGACCCGCGGGGTCGCCCTCAGCTCCGCCCTGCAGATGGGGAGGCGGTGGGTGCCCCCCAGCGGCTGGCTTCGGATCGAGGCGCAGGTGCCCAGGCAGAGTGACATTGTTATTTGCTCCAACCATTCTAAATTCCACATTTATTTATGGGCCCGATTATTTTTATCCCGCACTACATTCTTTTCTAGGAGATCACTGTCACTCGTAAGGAGAATGAATCCCCGCAACTCAGAGCCACTGTCTTCTAAACCCACAGCCGGTCCCCACCTGGCGTCTTTCCCCGGATGTCACTAGCCCCTCGACGTTCACACATGATGTCATTTCAGAGGAGAGACAGGAGAGGGAGAGCGGCCTGGGAAGCGAGAGACAAAGGGACAAAGCGAGGAAGGAGGGAGCGCTGGGGACTCTGGGAACCCTGCTGGCCACCTGGCCATCAGGACCCTGTTTTCTGTCCCCAGTGACCAAGAGGCTAATGAGGTCCCTTCCAGGGAGACCCAGGCTGTCACTGTTGCCCCTGGTTACTGCCCAGAAGACAGGAAACAGAGCACCGCCTCAGGAGTGATAGGCAAAGCAAGGGCAGAGGGCCCCAGCATGCCTTGCACATGCATGCACACGAACACACGTATGCACACCCATGTGTGGCTCCTCGTCCACCTGTGCAGCCATAGCAAGAGAAGCCCCAGGCACTGCCACTGCCAATTGCCCTGACAACTCCATCCAGGGCCCTTGCACGGCCAGGGAGCTCACCATGCACGGAGGTCGGAG